GTAAATATATCCTTTGTAACTGTGTAGTATTTATTAACTATAGTGTTGTTATGTTAAGTAGGAGGACATTATTGCTGTTATTTATTAGTATTATTATTTTTGCTGTCCGTGTACCCACTGAGCAAGTTACAGACTTTTCCACCTTCAACGTCAGTAATGTCTTTAGACTTAGCCCTTCAACAAGGCGCATCACAGCTGCAACCAATATCTGCAGATCTCTGGACGTTTTCGATAAATGCGACATCTCCTTTCAGGAAACACTTTCCTCTGCTTAATCCTTCTGAGTTACATAATTATCGTGTTACCTGTGTTACTTTATTGCCTAGGATTAAATTCGTGTCTAGTTCTAGTCCTAGTTCTGGCTTTCGTTATGTACGTACACTTTCAGTTCTCGTCTGCTGTATGCCACTCGCTACTGGCAAGCAATTAAATAAAGGAACTGAACTAAATTATTGCTGTTGTTAAGAAAACTGCTTCGCTTGACTGATAAGTGTCGGTTTGGAAACAGGCTATTGTGATGTTGTAGGAGTCCCTTTGTCCCACAAACCGAATTCGGGGTCAATTATTTAAAAGAGGGTCCCATCACTTCCATCCAAATCCCTAATTATCAAGTTATTCCATTCTGCTATCTGCTTGAGTATAGATGCGTCACAAGTACAACCAAGTACCAATTAAGAGAAAAACTGCTGGAACTTAGAGGGCGGGTTGCATTGACGCCTTCCGTTAAAGACTTGAAGAACCTCTCAGCTGTTTGTCCCGTAAAAATGTTCCCTTTTATTAAGATGTACGTGTAGTTATAGCAAGTGTCACGTAACTTCGAACAAGGCCAAGAGCGCCAAGAGTAACCTTGAATGCGCAGAAGAAAATTTTCAGACAAGGGGGGGGGGGGTTGCGGGAATGCGGGGAATGCGTGGCCTTGTTCGAAGTCACGTGACACTGTCTCTAAGTCTTAAGAACATTCACTTCATATGTTTAGAAATGGCATTATATCCTGTTTATACAAATAATTTTATTACGTCTAATCTTGTTTAAAAATAATTAATAAACTCACAAAAAAGAGCCTTACCACAAAATTCACGCAAATTGGGGTAATTGTCTTTATTGTCTGCATTATGTTGTGTGTTACAATGTGCTTTTTGGTCAACACAACTTTTTTTCAAAACAAAACCGAACCAATATCACTGTACTAATACTGGTTATACACATTTTAGAGTGTGCTACATGCACACTCTAAAATAAAACTCTAAAACACATTCATGTTTGAATCATCAGGCAATTTCTTAAATATGTCGTTTGTTGCTGAATTGTCCTAATATTGACCCATATTAGTATTATTTTTAAAATCCGTTGATTTCTGTATCGACCGCCTCTGTGGTCTAGTGGTCAGAGTTCCGGCCACAGATCCAGAGGTCCAGGTTCGATTCCCAGCTATACCAGATTCTATGAGAAGTAGTGGGTCTGGAACGGGTCCACCAAGCCTCGTGAGGATAACTGAGGAGCTATTTGAAGGAAATAACGGCTCCGGTCTATAAAACCGATATTAACGGCCGTGGGGATCCGTTGCGCTGACCACGTGACACTCTCTATCCGCAAAAGTTGGCACTAACTTCGCCGACAAGCGGCGGACGCTCGGTCGGTATAGTTCGCTTGCGGGCAACAGGTCACGGAGTTTGTTTTCTTTTGTTGATTTCTATATCTCATTGTGACACATGTTCGTGCTTTTGATATTATTAACCTTAGGGATAAAACTAATAAAATTAGTAGATATTACCATGCTCTAATACACGACAAGTATCACGAAACCTACATCATATCGACGAGACATAAATGCTAATTTGAATAATTTTAACTCTTAGATTGATATCAGAAATGACATCATGCGTTATAACGGATTTTAAAAAAATTATTACTAATATGGATCTACATTATGACAATTCAACAACAAGCGACGTATTTAACAAACTGCCTGATGATGATGATGATGATCCAAACATGGGTCGAGACATGTGGCAGACGCTAAAATAAAACCAATATTGCTACAATGATATTGGATGGTTTTGTTTGAAAAGTTTCTTTTGTTGACGTCCAAAAAACAAATTGGGGCAAACCTTCTTTCAACAGTGCTTGGTGAGACCGACCACAGCGCCTCTATATACAAACTCACATGTCTTAATATCACATAATACACTGACTCGTCTCCCTTTGGTTTCACTGAGTATCCATCGAGTGACACACGGCACAATACATTTAATCTCTAAGTTCGGCGTAAGAATACATCCTACAGAGTGGGATCTCTTTACGAGTAAATTCTTTGAGCGGGTATCACTTCTGAGACGTTTCGAACATACGCCCTAAAGGCTTATCATTGCACAAACATCCGACAATCAGAAGACGTAGGTAGCTCTGAAATGTCATGTTGCCATAGCAGCTGAGAGAATATTAGCAATTTTTTCAGCAGAGCCGTTGCTTAGTAACACATTCAATCTTTGATTCCATCTCTAAAATAAAATATAATGTAATGTATACGCTGAAGCAAAGTAGTGTATGTTATATTACATGATATTTTATTAATGACCGAGCTAGTAAAATTTTGTCCCTTCTTAACAGTCGATACTTTTCCCTTAATAATCGATTTTTTTCAGTCTTTGTTTATGTAATCGAATTGTATCTTAAAAATATATATATGAAAAAATATTTGAGGTTCTCACTGTTTTGGAGATACTTGCTGTTAATGTACGCGCCTAACAATATTTCGGAGGAATATAATGCCTCCATCTACATGGTAGAATTTCTGCAAATGGAAGGAGCTTCAGTTCTGTAACGTTATGCGGCTATTTTCGAAGTGTGTTTCGTAATAGAATTGGAATTTATGCATGTAGATTCTAAAGAGCGGTGTATAGCGCTCAAATTACTGGGTTTTCCGACTTTGTCCATCGGCCGGTATTCTAGAGACTAGAAAACACAACGTTTCGAAAACTGGATCTGTTTCCATCCTCAGGTGAGAGGGGAGACATCTACTCTGTTGGGTCCCTTAGAAAGATCTAACCTTAATCACTAGATTGGTTTTTAGAATACTGGATGATAGACGAAGTCCAAAAACCCCGTAATTCTGGTTATAAATCATCTTCAATCGCCATTAGAATATACTTGCGCAACAGGCATGAACCTGGTATATACCTTTCTTATGAAACTAGAACGCCTAAATTTCAGTTAGCTTAAACCCTCATCCTAGTCTAACTTTCCTCATGAGATGCAAATCTCAGTGTTTCATCCACAAAGGCTTATCTGTAAAGATTTTCTTCGGTAATGGACGCCTTTTCAAAATTGTCCAAAGTGACAGTTAGGCACTTCTCAAGGATAGGATACAATTTCATTGGAAAGTGGGAGGGGAGAGCGAAAGTTCCAGTGATTGAAGTGAGATCTTTCTAAGGGGCCAAACAGAGTAGTGTCTCCCCCCCTCACCTGAGGACGGAAACAGATCCAGTGTCCGAAACGTTGTTTTTTTAGTTTTTAGAGTACCGGACGATGGACGAAATCTGCAAACCAATTAATTTTTGGAATTTACACCCTTCAGAAAATATTATATATGTCCATTTTATTTACAGCCTAACAGGTTTATATCCGTACTCAGTAAATAATACAGCCAAAGTTTAAGGAAGATGAATGCAATTTTGGAAATCCTATTGACATTAAAATATGATTTAGCTTAGTTGGGATTATGGATTTATGGAACATGACGCCGTATAGTTTTGTAGATATGTACGAATATTTCGTAGCCAGGCCCCCCCTCCCCCCATTTGAATTTCTAGAGATCTTAGGTAACCGCTCTTCCAAATACCACGCAGGTCTGTTTCCCGCATTTCAGTGACATCTGTGGGGGAAAAATGACATTTAGGTACCTACAGAATGGCAATAGCTTATCACGTAACGGGATCCTCTCTGGTATGGGGTAATTTTCTTCCAGTGAGGCGACGTGATTGGCAGTAAATACAGCCAGAGGAGAGGCAAATTTTCTGGAGCTAAAGAAATCGAAACTTTCATCCATCACATCTCTAGTAAAGAAGATGGTTCCGTGGTACTGTCTTCTGGGATTTACTGCCGGGTAGTCCGTTGAAAGTGAACTGAGGTTTCCGAGAAATTCATCTTGCCACTTTTTTCGCGCTGCTATGTTGTTCTGCTTATTCAGCCCTGAAGATGAAGCCGATATTTTCATCCGAAACGTCTCTTGACTTTTAACGGACTACACGGTATTACGTGTATATACAAGAAGTTAGTGCTCTTTATAAGTACCGCTGTGAGAACCTCAAATTCCTGCAAGATGCTTCCAGTTTCAGTTTCCTGAATTCAGATTCTGTCCCGTGACAGTAGAGAACAAGTTTAAAACCCGGGCGCTCTGATTGCCCGCTTTGCAAGTCACCGGCTATGACCACATCACGGCTTTACTGCCATTTGAGTGAAATCGACTGAGATCCAATGTGCTCGGTCCGCGCGCAGTTCCAGTGTTCACTGGACCGTGGAAATCACACCACGTTGTCACAGAGAACATTAGTAAAGTATTACTGACTCGTTGCCCTCAGGAAGTAGGTTATTATAAGCCAGCTTCTAATCCGACTCCATATAATTCTATAAAATGCTATCTATAATATAACAAACAAATATAGCAACTAAATATATTAGTTAAGTTTCAAAATGTATTAAACCCTCGCTAATCCGGTTACAGTTAATCCTGATCGAGTAAAAGTAAAAAGTAAAGCTATCCCTGTAACAGGCCGTGAAAGCCCATAGGGTTGTGAGACGTTGAGGGTCCCACATTATAAACAATTGGCTCAAAGATGGCGGTAAGGTTGTCAGCCTTATGCTCCGGCAGCGCTTTACTCCCCAGGAAAATTATTTAATTTATTCCTGGTATTCATTTCTGTTAGAGGCTGAGTCGACCCCAGGGCCATAGTGAGGATGGGAGGATTAGATCAATTGAAAAAATCCAATGACCTCATCGGGACTTGAACCCGCGATCTTCGGGCATGGCAGGGAAAAATAAAAATTCCTTTCACAGATGAGTACATACTTTAAAGGACAAACGACATTTAGGAAAAGAGATGAGACACTTGTCTGTTCAGAAAAAAAAATGGCAGTTTCTGAGACCTGCAATATCACGTTCAAAAATAGGTACAAATTCTGAGGCTTGTATTGATGAATAAATGTGTTGTCTTTTTATAGACTTTAAATAAAGGCTCTACAGTGATATTTTTATCTGCACTACTTATATCATTAAATTTTGCATTTATGTTCTAAATTATTTTGTCTTGTCTTGTAGGGCTACATTTTGCGTCACTCATCCGGATTGTCACTTAATCCGGACGATCTATCTCCATCCTCCCAAATTATCCGGATTAGCGACGGTTTACTATAAATTTAAATACTGCGCTGTCTTTGTACAACAATTGCAATTCTGTATTTCTTATTCGTGTTCATGTGGCGTCCGTTGCCATGGCATCACATTCTTGAAGAGTTCAGTTGTGCAGCGTCCGTCACTTCTTTTACGACCGCTTTTCCTGTCACTGGAACGGGACTGACCGGCCATCTGAAGCCTTCTGAAGGCATTCCCTGTCACATGCATGAAGTATCTAAGTTTTGGATATAGAGAAATCATAGGTAAAATTGAAATTTCATTGAGCAGCAGTTTAATGTAGAGGGATATTTCAGTTCAGATCTATCTTGGTATCGTGTTCGGGTAGAAAGTATCTCATTCAGATGTGAGGGCTGTTTAAGTAGAAAACTGTTCTCGGCGCTGCTAACCAATATGGTCGGTCTGACTGGTTCCTTACAAATACATGCTTATTTGTTTCACAGACAACCTATTCATTTCGCACAGCATGAAATTAAACGAAAGAAACATTTGAAGTGCTCTAGGTTTTGTACATTACTGTGACCAACATACGTCAGTGATTTATAGTGCATTTTACACCATCAATAAACACTGAAATCTGACATCGATTTCGAGAAAAAGTGAACACCAGGACGCATTATTTGGGTCATCATATCTGCTTTCAATCCAAACCGAACTAGTCATGCTATCGTTGAATATTTTCAGCCGAAATATCTGTTTTATTCACTGCATTTTATTCGAAACACCCTGTATAATAATCCTCAGTGCTGGCTGAACTGCGTCTTCTAGCGGTACAGCACATCTGCGTGGCCTGCCGGGAAACCAAATGGCGTCACCTAAAAGTTCCTTAAAATCTACAGCCAATCGGTCCGTGGAGATGGCAATGTCGCTGCTGGTTTCACCTCCCTGTGCCGAGTTGTAGAGATGGGGAAGACTTAATGTGACCCGCGGGGAGTAGCTGATGGGCCATCAGGTGGCCCGCACTAGCCATGTTGTTGTTCAGGTCTCCTGCCGACGGCAGAACGGCGTTCGACGTCCGGATACCAACTGCAGTACCGTTCATAAGAGGTGATGTAACAGAACCCGGCTGCAAAGAAAGGCGTAAGGTGTTACAAGTTAAAAAGGCGTACGGGAAGTTGTTTGAATGCGGTTACATGACTTACCGGTAGATGGCTGGTCTGTCGCTTGATGTGGGCGATGCTGGGAGGGTTGTACGCCATGTTGGCGAAAACGAGTCGCTCCTCGTAGTCGTACTCACAGAGGATCTTGTTCTCACACAGGTAGAAGCGGTCGCCCACACAGAACCTAGAACAAAAGAGAAGCGATGTTACCTCTAGCGTAAGACGCACCCTAGTATAACTGGTTCAAATAAAACTGGATAATAGAAACAATGATTACAGATTGGAGTTCATTTTTCCCCCTTTAAATCCATGTACGAACAATCTTCCCTGAGTAGGTGGTAGTCGCTCAGACCGTCACGACGTGTCCCGGGCGGTACGGAACTGCCCTACAGGCGCCCCTGGAGGGCAGAGGGTTCTCTCCGTTAACCCAACCCACATACACATTGGCCTGTATGATCCATTAGAGTGTTAGCCTTCAGGTTATGTTACGTTCTCCGATTAGTGTCTTCCCATCAGTACGTAGTGTATAACTGTACGTGTATACTGATTTATCCGCCTATTCTCCTTGGTTTGACGAAGCAATAATATTCTTTGAGGGCTTGAGTGGAACTATTGTGCAAGCAGTTATATCGAGCTTCTGCTCAGTCACATCCGCGAAAATTGAGAATCTGAGGCTCCGACAGGTGATTCAGATAGCAGTGAGGTTGTCAGCCTTACGCGCCGACAGCCTTGTACCTCCCAGGAAGATTCCTGGCACTCATTTCTGTTAGAGGCTGGGTGGACCCCAGTGCCATAGTGCGGCTAGAAAGGTTAGATCAATTGAAAATCTAATAACCTCATCGGGAGTCGAACCCTCGACCTTTCGGCTTGTTGAATAGTCTCAGCCAACTACGCCTCCTCGTGACCCCAGAAACCACCGGATACAATTATCTTAGCATCCCGCTGCAATTGGTATCAGAATTTATATCCATTTGTTTACCGTCCGCCATGAAAAAGTGAGCACAAATTTAGCGGAATTAANTACCGTTTCTCACGGTGTTGTCGCTTGCAGATTTCTTATACTTTTTCTTCTACCCTGAAGATGGGGGCGATACGTTCCTCCGAAACGTCGGTTAAAACCACATATACACGGTGCCAAATCCCAGAAGACTGCTTTCTTCAAATACTAACATTGTTTATAGTTACACAATAACTTCAGGCTTAGGTTTTGGAGAACAGACATAAGGACGGAAGGTTCTTTGCTTTATGAAAGTGAATATTCCCTGAATTTATACTGCTCTTAAATTTCTTCTTGAATACTACTTCCTCGCTACCATTCCGCGATATCTGAACACTGCCACGTTTTCAGTGATTCTATTAGCTGTACTGTGATTCCGCTCTGCGCCTTTGTGACGACACAGGAACATGTGCGTGTACTTCTGCTTGGTTTCCTCTGCGTTCACTTCTAGGTCAGCCTCCTTATTAGGACTTCTACATTCATTTTTAGAATATTTGTTTTCGCCCAGTAAAATAACATCAGGATCATTGAATAGGTGCCGATCAAAGTGGCCGCACGGTCTAAGGCATTAACCGTCTTCGCCCGCTCGAACACTGGGATCGTTTGGTTCGAATCCAACTCAAGGCATAGATGTCTGATATATGTGCGTCTATACTATGTTTGTGTTGTTGTGTGTAGGTAGAGGACTTGCGTCGGGCTGATCCCCCGTCCAAGGAGTCCTACCGATCAAGGATCAAGGAACTGAAAACAGCGACCAAGGCCTAACAGAGGGCTGTAGAAATATAATAATAATAATAATAATTATTATTATTATTATTATTATTATTATTACTATTATTGACTAGGTGCTGATGTGTCTGATTCATTTTTAATCAAGGCTGTCTCTCTTAGAATTTCTCCAGGATTTCAAGAATGCGGAATATATTGTGACATTTAGATCCATTGCTAGGCAACGACCGCGAAATAAGCAACTATTCAACGGCGGTTACTAGGCAGCGGCCGGTAAACCAACAAAGGAGCAGTGTTTTCTACGTGATCCGTGCCAAATGTTACAAGCAGGTCAAGTTAAATGGTTAGTCTACTGAGCCACACTCTAACAACGGCCATGGTTTTCAGAGTCACTACTTAGCAACGGTTGCTGTGTAGTTTCTTATTTTGCGGTTGTTGCCTAGCAGCGTGTCTACATTCCACATATATTGAATAAAATTTCATATACATTCGATAAGAAAGTAGGTTTACCTAAATGACATTAAATTTGACTTCATTATTACATTTCATGAGCTACAGAAATAATATTTACAGTTACACAAAATAGTGCGAGGTCAAGAAAAGTGGAGATATACCTCCATTCCCCCATATGTCTTCATGGCATAGTGATTAACTACTTAAGCACGGGGACAAATTTTCCTTTAGAAAATATTAGCCACATTTCACAATTTTGAGTTTAGAACACTCCTCTCAGTTTATAATTTCTCTCTCCAAATCTTTAATACCTTGATCTATTTTATCATAACACAGTCACTATTTCGCAAGTCCTGTAGATGTCGACACTGTCATCACAGGCGAGACTGTTTCAGGTTGTACTTCGACATTGTCCTTTAGCTTCTACATCTTCATATCAAAATGTTGTGCTGTTTATTTTCCGAAAGCCTCTCCCACCAGATGTTGGTCACTGCCAAAATCACTTCCTCTGAAAAGAAAGGACGTCCAGGACGCTCATAGTTGAATGACGTCTTCAGTAATGACGTCACTAATCTGCTTATGCGTCTCTCTGTGAGGAGACGCCAAAATATATTTGAGAACGCTGCGATGTGGAAACATTTTGAAGTTTACTTCTCTAATCCACTATCGTTTCTAATATAATGGGACACATCTTTCCGTGTTCGAAATTATTCTGCGTGCAAGAAGAATGTGTAAACATTTTATGACTCTTCAATTTCTGCGCTAGAGGACTCTGAACACAGCCACATTAAGTATTTCCTCACAACGGTCGTTATCAGAGAACACAACAAAGTTTAGTTTAATTCTCCTTTGTTCCGTGTACAACAAAGTTTACGCAAACAGTATTATGAGACTTTGTTATACTGCCGGCAGATAGCGCGCAAGTTCTCTAACTCCTTATCAGCAGCGTCCTCCACTACTGTTTCACTTTATCTTGCTCCCATTGACTGAATGTCCGTTTGGCAGACATGACACGCTTGTTGCAACGTCTCCAAACTTATCGTCCGGTCTGTCACAATTACCGTCTGATTCACTGATGAATATGAATGTATGGCAAGTGGAGAATGTTGCAGAGTGAGTCTTCCAGCCATTCTCTTCCATGTTAGCAGTTTTATACTCAGAAGGAATGGGTGATCAAAGGAACTTCCGGTAGAAAGAAAACTACACAATGAGCAAGACAATTATTTTTCCGGTATTAATGGCGACTCTTTTCTTGGGTGTCTCCCACGATTTTGAAGTATGTCCTGCCTCCGAAACGTCGGCAAAACTGCCCCCATTCGCACGAGGCAAAGAGACGAGAGCCGAAGCAACATAAAAAATAAACCACCTTGGAAACCTAGAATCACTTGGGGTGAATACAGACGTTTCGGAGGAATACATTGGGTGGATCTTCAGAGTTAAACCTTGATTGAGGGAAGTGTTAACGCGTAACATTCGTAACCATCTATCACATTACAACGCGTAATCATAACCGAGGACAGAACTCTGAAGATAGAGGCCGTATACGCCTACGAAACGTCTGTACCCACCTACGAGACCACATGATGCCGCAACAGAAAAGACCATTACCGTGAAAACATCTGAACGTACAGGACTTAAAGTTATTCAGGTGGTTAGGTGAAGGGTACGATTTACGACCCATGTAGAGCGCATCTGGGTGGAAAACTGCAGCAGCGATCTTGGTAAAGATGTCGCTTGGCTTGTGGATCCCGACTGGCCACTGCTGGTTACAAGCAGCAACTATGAAAATCAAGAAACTGATAATCTCTGCTAGCTTGTTTGTTTTCGTTGATTTTTTGCTTGGAATAATGTTCGAATCTGAGGAAAGAGATTGTAGATTTCTCCAAAACACCCTCGAAAATCTTCCACACAACATGTAGTCACATTCGAGAAGACGATGTAGCTGCGGGAACGTCAAATCTAACNAACACCACATATACACGGTGCCAAATCCCAGAAGACTGCTTTCTTCATAGTCACCGCCGTGAAAGCCTCAAATCTTACAAATCTAACAGGCTTTGAATTCTGCCGACAGTTTTTTATTTTGCAGAATTAGCACAGAGCATTGATGGGTACGTCAACGTTAAACACGCGGAGTACAGAAGGAACAGACAGATCCGCTGTGTCTCGAAATATCGTGATCTCGCTGAATACACAGTGCATTTCTTCCGTAAGTGTCCCTGCATTCAAAGATGTTTTAGACAAATAATATCACTCGTACATTCGTATTTTGAGTTCTGTTAAACCCATACGGCCCAGGTACCAAACAGGACTGCTCATGGGCAGATATGCAATATCGGACAGGGAAATAAAAGATATGTTACGAACAATTTTTGCTCACCCTAGTGATATGAGTGCAGCGCTTTTTCATACAACAGCGATAACAAGTTTCTCGTCCGCTGCAATAACAACAATTATTACGGCCCGTTCCGTTTATATGGAAGCTCGCATCAAGACCTTTTGTCCTGGTATTCACGCATCACGGGGCGAGAGAGAGAGAGAGACAGAATGGGTCCACGCAGCCTTAAAAACGAGCAATCATAACAATAAAAAGTGCAGATAAAAACATGAATGGCTCACTAGCTTTTGTTTGAATTGTGAAAAAGAATTAATCTGTTTTTGTGAAAAGCTGGAGCTGTAAAGCATTTTCGAGGAATTGTAAACAGCGCTCCTCCTCCGCGTTATTGTTGCCTGAACAATGGGTAATTGCTGGAGACAGACAAACAATATGGCTGCGTCCCAAGCTTCAGAATCCCCACAGACATTACACTTTCAGGCAAAGTTTTTACTTACACCTTCGAAGCCTAAGTCAAAGTCACATTGCGACTGACGGTCAGTCAGTCAGTAAGTCTTGGTGTCGAGCACCCTCCTGGGGCTCATGACCAGATATTTATTACTGTTTGACAGTTACGGTCTTGTTTCTGTGGGGCGCCCTCTCTGACGAATGGAGGAGTTTGTCTTTTGTA